TATATTCAGTTTTAGATCTACTCAAGTGAAAACCTTTAGACTCTTAGGTTGACCTCCATAATTCATGTTTACCTTCAACTCCCTCTCTGATCTTATCAACAAGAAGAATATCATGAGTAAAACACATACACCAAGGTACATCTCTCTTGCAAATGTCTAGTGAGAACATCCATGATTAAAGCAAAAAGATACGGACTTAAGACTGATCCTTGATGTAATCCAATCGAAAATATAAAATGATAGAGACTTAGATGATTTGATCACATTAGACGGAGGGCTCCCGATGACCCAATTAAAAAAGTTGACGTATTAGATTTTAGTTATGTCAAGAAAGGTAACGGCAAACCTAAAAAAAACATGGTTAGAAATTATTAGAAATAATGTTTCTTTATTAAATTTAAATGAGAATTTAATTTTTAATAGGACAAACAAAAAAAAAATCATGTAGCCAACCCCACGTAATGAGGCAAATGCTTGATGATGATGTTGTTATTGTTAGTAGTTTTGCATCACTCATATGAGATTTAATAGACTTATGCTTTATGTACAACTATAAATTGTGATTATTATTATGCCACTTAGCTGATTCAATATTAATTTATTTCTCAGATTAGTTATTGAAGCAATTGAATTCTATTTATATCTTGGCACATAACAAAATAACAAATATGCATTATTGAATTTAAATGCTCTCATGATCTTATTGGCGGAAAACTTGAAGTTGAAGGGAGGGAGCAACAAGGTGCAAAAGGTTTCGATTTAGTTCTACAAATCTATAAAAGGTGTACTACTCGGTTCCTAGTGCAGATAGAAGGTCGAGTAGTTACAAACACAGAGAAGACAATGATACTAGCAATAGCATCATTTTTTAATTTTCAAAACAATATTAAAAAGTTTAGTAAGCCAAAAAACTCCTTAATCTCCTAAGCATTTCCACACCTCTATTGGAATATCATCATGTCCAACAGCTTTTCCACACTTCACATTCTTTAAAGTCTCTTTAACTTTGGTTTTACTAATACGCCGATAAAAACATAAATCTTTATTTTTATTTAGAGTGCTAAGATCACTAAAGTAAATCATATTTTCAAATTCTTCATTAAAAAGTTTAGCAAAATATCTCATCCACCTTTGTTGAATATCATCTTCTAAGAAAAATACTTTTTAATCTTCATCCTTAATACACTTCACTTGAACTAAATCCTTACTGCTCCTATCCTATGTTTGACTAGCTTATACATATATCTTTCTCCCTCCTTAGTATCTAATCTATTATATAAATCATTAAAAGTTAATATCTTTGTATCGCATATTGTTTTTTTAGATTCCTTAAGTGCCTATTTATATATTTCTCAATTATTAGAGTTTTTACATGTAAACTAATTTTTATAACAAATCTTCTTATTTTTTATTTTTTTTCTTGTACATTTGGATTCCACTACCAACTATTTTTACTATTATGAGATTTTCCCTTTGATACTTCAAGCAAATCTTTCATAATATTCTTAATATCACTAGCTAGTTGTTACCACATAACATTAACATCCACATGCACAATCAAAATCTTAAGATCTAAAATCTTACTATTAAAAATATTTTTATTAATTTTCTTTAAATGTCCTCATCTAATCCTATAATATCATTTTACTTTATTTTTTTATTTTTTGCTCATTTATATTAAAGTCCAAAACTAATAATCGATGTTGGGTACATAAATTTTCACTCGTAATAACTTTATAATATGTGTAATCTAAACGATCTAATTTTCTTATAAGAAAATAATCAGTCTGAGTTTTACTATATCCATTTTTATAATTGATGAGAAGCTCATCTCTTTTTTTAAATAAAGTATTAGCAATTAAAAAATCATAAGCTAAAAAAAAAATCTAATATGGTCTTATCACCTTCATTTGTCGTTCCAAACCCATGACCACCGTGAATGCTTTTAAAATCATCTACATCTCTATCAACATGCCCATTTAAATCTCCTCCAATAAAAACTCTTTCTTCAAGAGGTATCTTTTATATTAATTCTTCTAAGTCATTCCCAAATTTTAATTTTGAACTCATATCCAAACTTACTTGAGGAGCAAAAGCACTTATAATATTAACAATCTTAGCATCAACAATAATCTTTAAAGTTATAATTTTATCTCTAATTCTATTATTTTTATAACATTATTCTTCAAACTCTTATTTATAATCACACATACATCATTTCTAGTACGACTCTTACCTGAATACTATAGTTTAAATCCTAAACTATCAATCTCCTTAGCCTTCTTTCCAATCAATTTAGTTTCCTGAATGCACAAAATATTTATCTTCATATGAATCATAATATATATTAATTCCATTAATTTTCCTGTAAGGAAACCTATATTCCAAGTTCCTATCCTAATAAAACTCTAAAAAGCAATAAAATAACTTAAAATAAAATACTTACATATTTCCTTACTCTCCATTCGAGAAAATGCGGCCTAGAACATGAAGTAACTACTAAAAAAATTATTAGGAACCTAACAGGAAGTAGAACAAGGCCAGAAAAATCTATGGATTAAAATGCTGAAAATGAAACTACACACAATCAACAAAGGTGAAGAGAACTGGCAAAGTGATTAAAGAACGAGGAGGAAATGCCAAAAAAGAAGACATGAACTGTACAAAAAAGAAGGCACAGATTCTGTATTTGTTAAAGACGCAAAAACACCTTAAAAGAAAACAATTGGAGACGTTGCACTTACAGCTGATTCCGCATGTGTGAATGTGAAGATGCAAAACTTTAGAGAAGCTTCACAAAGATATCAAGCATCATTCTTGCATAATTGAAGGAAATGGCTTTAAAAAGGGAATCAAAGCACATGATTTAGAATACTACAAAAGAAAATTACTTTAAAGGCTCCATCCCCTCACTTAACTATCTCCTAATTATCATCCTTGTCACCACTGCTTTGACTTTCAGTTTCTGAGTCTCTGATAACATAGCCAAATAAATAAGGTCAATAAGATCATAGCTATAATACTATGAGAACAAGTCATAGCAACTATCATCGCTGCTTTCTATACTGGCCTCCAGGTTTTACAATTATAACAATTATATGATTTTCTTCATAATTCCATAGTTAACACAGTCCGCCAATGAAATTATAGCTTTGCCACCAATTCATCGGAAACATGAAACAACCATAAGGCCAACATCTCACCATAGTTTTATAGGAATTAGCACAACCATTACGTCAAAACTAGTGAAATATGCAGCAAAATAAAATTTAGAGTATGCAAACGTTTTTCTCCAAATATGTGCTCATTTTTGTTTTCCTTGCGGTAGAAGTTGGCCTTTTCTTAGCTTTTTTGCATAAATGAGAGGGCATTTGTTCTCATCTAACCATAATTTACTAGTATAACACACATATAACTTTTCCCAAGTATCTCAAAAAGTATCTGAAAAAAAATTTATATGATTTTAGCATCTTTTAAAATAGAAGACATATATAGACTTCCAAAAAAAATTACAGAAACTTGACAGAAGAAACTTCACCAAGTTCCACTGGGGAAAGTTATCATACCTGCCACTACATTAACATCTAAGGTAGAATCTGCACTATCTTTTTGTTCTGGTTCCTCTTTCAGGACAATGGATGTTGGCGTGGTATCTTCAACTTTTGTTAATTCTGAAATTTGTTGGACCTGATCAATCAATTCTGAATTACATGATTGCTCCACAGATTCTGGCTTGCCTTCCTCTGAAAGCTTTTGATCATCTACAAACTTAAGCATAGATGGTGCATCTCCATCATGTACGGGAAAATCTCCCAACTCCTTTGAATTACTAGTTTTATTTACCATTGCCTCATCAAAACTACTTGCATCCTTCCTGTCAGATTGTGATGTTAGTTCCTCAGGTAAAGATTTATTATCTGGCTCACTGTTGCCAGAAGTTACATCCACTGGGAGAAATGAATCACTTAATTCTTTCACAGTAGATTTCTGTGGAGACTCATTAGGAGAAGCTGGCTGTTTCATTTCACTCTGTCCAGAATTTGCATTTGGCTGATTATTAATTGTTTCATTCTTCAATTCCGCAGAACCATTCGAACTTGGCAACTGCTCCTCCTCCTTTAAAGCCTCCAAGTCACCATTGGCAGCAACAGCACTGCATTAATAAATATCATCAGGTTTGAATTTCAGCCACACTAACATTAAACTTGAAAGCATACGGATTGCAGACCTCTCAGGGACAGGACTTCTAGCATCATTAAGTGGCTCCTCAAGAATAAAGCAATGCCTTGAAACCAGCTGAGTTCCAGGAGATTCCTCTAACATTGATTTCAAAGAAGTGCGGCATGAAGTTGACACAGCATCCTGGTCAACCAGTCCCGCTAAGAATGCTACCTGCAATAAGAAAATTAGTTAGTTGGTCACTTTCTGCATCTAAGATGTGGCATTTTTATCCACAGGGCTCTACCAACATTAACGCTTACCAACACCATGGCAGGATTTCCAGCTTCTGCAAATGAGAACATTCTTCCATCATCATTTGTAAAGCCTACAGCCTGAAATGCACTCTTTAAAGAGTTTACAGCAAAGTTGGAATAAGTTTCGCCGCATAAATCAACTTCAGCATATTTCATGTCCGAGACATCTGCTGGGGACGAAACAGGATGCTCGGAGCTCATGCCATTCTCAACCTCAATTGCTTCAGGGACTTTCACAACTGAAGATTCCTTATTAGCTGAACATGGTTCAATTTTCTCCAACATATTGTCACTAGAATTTTCTTGGACATCTAGAAAAGGATCTTCTATAGGCATTTGAAGAAAGTGCAAGATGCACTGAGCTTTAGTTTTAGTAGCAACATGCTCAGCTATTTCATTCCAGTTCTCGCCAAAAAGCTCCAAGGCTTCTAAAAGAAGCAAGGTTTCCTGATCTGTCCAACTCCGACTACTCACACCAGGGCCCTCAGCAGATTCCATAAGAATGAAGTCAGCTGGTGTCATGCCGGAGCCAAATTTCCCATTATTATAACACTCCGCACAGAGATCAAAATCTGCCTGTGAAATAAATAAATAGCATGGATGTTTGGGTCAAGTTAGTCATCTACCAATTTTGTGCCATACTCGCATTATAGGAAAAAGATATATTCATGAATTCTGTGAAGTAAACCATCTCTAACAATCCAAATTCACTATACTTTTTTTTTTGGGACATTTAGGTCAATTAAGGCAAACTCACACACAAAACGCATACACAAAAACTCGAACCCAAGACCTCTTAGTTGGAAGCCTAAGCTCTCAACCAACAAGCCAAGGTGAGCTGTGTTCACTATACTTTTTGATAATCAACTTTATCCATTACACCTGTTATATTTGCTTTTTTTATAATCAACATGAATCTTTTTTCTCCATAGTTCTGATGGGATCCGATGCACTGATGTTGGTATGGTCGTACCCAGATAGAAAATGAATAGAAAATGATTTGTAAAGCCAACTACAAATAGTTGCGACAAGGTCATGAATATATAATGATAAAAGAGTTCATGCTATTCAAAATTTTGTAGGTCATTGCATATTTTTTACAATTACTGCAGCAACAAATTAGGTGTGCTCTTGTATATTCTAGCTATTTTGTACAGCATTTCAAATTAATGAACTTCATTGAACATTAAGGGTTATAATTGAAATAATAATGTAATATAGAACTCATAACATTTTTTTTCTTCAGAATTTTATCCACCTCTTTATCATAAAGTTTTTCTTCAAAATGTTACTAAATACTTTCACTATTGTAGCATTTCTTTGATGCAAACTCCATGAACTCCTTAGTTTCAATATTTCAATATTATTCCTTGGCATTTAATCGTAGAGATTAGATGTGCACTTTCAACACGGAAAAAACAAACCAGAACATTATAAGTAGACTACCAAAGATTTTACAAGCATCCACATTGTTGATGACAATGTGAATTTCAAACAGCCTTAGAAGCATCAACTAAATCAAACAAAAGTGTGGAATGCTATGAGCTAATCATCTAAGATAAAAATTAGTAGCTGAAATGATTCATGCAAAATAATGGCAGAGAAGAAGATTGATCTTTTAACTTAAATGGACACAAATGAAACTGATAAAAATATGAAGAAAAAAAATTGCATCAAGCAAATGCACAAGGCAAAAACTATTGTCATACACTATTTACTAAAAATAAAACTCCATGGCTTAGTTCTCATGAAATAGTCACCAAAAAAAAAAAAAAACAGCACGGCTAAAAAGGAAGGAAGAAGTTAAATTATACTCTTTAGTTTCAATTAACATAACTGTAAAATATATACTTCAATAGTCCATAGTTTAGACTACTAGCATCCCTTAGCATAGGCTTTTATCTAAAAAGTGTTTGCTATAACATTATTCAGCAGTTCAAATTAGGTTCAGTCCCAATATTCAAACTGAACTAAGAACCAACCTGTTTCTGGCAATGATACCGTCTGCGAGAGCAATCGCCTGAACATGAATTACAATGGTACTCAACTGAAGGATCCACTGGCCGCATCATGTCGTCAAGGAGGGCGGATTCTGGAAGCAGCTGTGGTAACATGGATGATGGCGGTGATTCCTGTTTTTTGGGAACATAACAGGGTAATGACTCCACATTTTCGAATTGGTACAACTGGTCAAGCAGAGAGGTTGTTTTCTCGGCTCCAGCTTCAATCACTCTTTTGTCAGTACCGGAATGCGGGAAAGGGTGGAAGTTGATCAAACCCCAGTGATCTAGAAACTCCATCACCTCTTGTCTAGCACCTAATTCGCCAACAGATATATCAGATAAATCTTTAACCTCCATTGGAGTCTGAGGATCAACATGAAATTTCTTCATGATGGAATTTCGTATGTCCACATATATTTCTGGTGTCCTACTCTCAGACTGTCCGTTGAAAAATGATGGCAACGCATGCTTCTCGAGCTCATGGATTTTCTCCCATGAAAACCAACCTGATGAAAGAACGCAATAGGACAACGTAAAACAAATGCTTTTAAGCTGTTGTGAACAAGATTCATGTTCTCTAGTAAGGGCCCATTTTAGTTCTCGAAGTTAGAAAAAATGTTCTGATAAATGATTAAATGATTAATTAACTATACTTCATTACTTAGTTGGATGTGGTTATAAATCAATGTTGGTTTTGAATTCTCCTTAAATACCTTCAGAGCCCTTCAAATGTTTTTAAAACATGTTTTATATCTACAAGCAACCAAGTGAGCCCAAGGTGGAATCGGTGAACAAAACGTGCAAAAAAATCCTCAACAGTTCTGTTAAAGAGAAAACGAAGAAATTGTGCAACAAAAGCGTCAGGTAAACAACAAATAAATATTAAGCAAGTTGGATGCAGCAGCATTTCACCCAAAACCCTAGCTCTGAGGAGCAAGTCCGATTCCACACTGATAGTTAAAAAAATGAAAATTCCTAACTGATATATTGGTCATCATATGTTCTAGCAACTCACCAGCGGAAGTTGGGACTACATGTACACCGACACCTCTGGATCGCACGGCCTCAAATTCCAGCTCCATTGTAGTCACATCCGACGGCTCCGCCGAATCCTCAACAGATTTAACCGGATCTTCAGAAAACATCATCTCCTTTGCAAGTTCTCCTACCAGCGTCTCAGCAATCAGAACTCCCTCCTGCGGCGTCTGTGGACTTCCAGCTGCGATCTTGCCTGGGAATTGCCTAGCTCTCGTGATGGGACCATTGTGGCCACTGGGGAGTATGTTGAGGGCATTCCGCTCCTTGACTAGCCTTTTCGATGTCGAGGAGGAGGAGGAGACAGCGAAGATACTCGAAGCCGCCTTCCTCTTCTGGCCGCCGGTTCGCCGGCGTGGGGCCTCCCCAGGGGTTTCGAAAGGAACCGGTGGCTTCACTTCTAGGTTTTCTGCAGCCGCCGGGGCCTCCCGTCCACGCCTCCCCTCCATCATCGCTGCCGCGGCTTTCTCTTGGTCGCTTGCCGTGTAAACTGTGAAGATAGCGCAGACCAGCACTCTTTTTCATAATTTGGAAATTTTCTTCAATTTTTTTTGTCCATTCCACCTAACTCAGAATGTGTTCGACCCGGTTTTGAGTTGAATGAGTTGAGCGTGAGCCGCTAATACAATTCAGTTTTGTGTTAATTACTTAATTTTTTTAGGGGCTGTTTGATTAACGGTAAAGAGAATGCATTATAAAGTAAATATTTTGAGGTTATTTGGTTGTGTGTAATGAATGCAAGAGAATTATTTTTTTTTTTCTGTTTGGTTAGGTATATGCAGTGTAAAGTAAAATCAGTCCATTGCCCCCAACAGAAGACACATGTTGCAGCTCTAGGTTTCCACACGAGGTGGTTCGACCATCCTACTGCTCCAGGTCCCTGCACGGAGTGGCCAAATCAATAAGAAGTGGAAAGTCATACCTCTGAGCAATGGGTTGTAGCAATTCGTAAGGCTTCTACACGATTGTTGATCTCATCAGCTGCAATCGAGCACGATTGTTGATTTCCATGAATATTTAGTTATTATTTATATTTGTAATTTCATTTAAGCATTTATTCTAATACAATTATTCCTTAATTTTGTCGAAACATATGTCGATAATTTAATCGTTCTTTATTTTTAATAATAATTATTCTTTATTTTTAATAAATTTCCTGTAATTTCTAATATTGTTAGTAAATATAAATGAACAAAAAAAATTCCAAAATTTTATTGAGAAAATAGTAGACATATTTGTTTACTTTTTATGAAATTATAAGGAAACATTAATATTACTATTTATAACATTTATATTTAATGAGTTAATGATAGTATTAACATAGTGAAACATTATTAATTAAAATTCTATTGGAAAATAGTGTGGAATGTTACGAATTTGACTATTGTCTCGAAGAAATAAATATATCGTTTCAAATTTATTGTAAATGTATGTATTCAAAATGAGTGCACGACCATCATCTTTTATGTTGTTATATGACGAATAGTTATTCTTAGATGATATTTTTTTGCCAACATATATTGGTGGTAAATATCAGCCCCTACAAGTTGTATTTAACTTGACTTTAAAGTAGTTAAAGGAAAGGGTTCTTAGGGCGCTGAAGTTCGATCCCTCAAAGTTTGTGACAACCATTGTGGGTCATTTTTCAGTGGGTAACTAATTCATGTCCTCGAAGGTTGAGGACGATGAAGATTGTGAATTTGCATTATCAGTGGCTACATCTGAAGTTCTAATTATGTATGTGGATGCTGAGGATATTCCTAATGATAGTAATTTGGATGAAGACATGTCAACTCAAATTTGTGATTTAGTTGTACTCGATAATGTACATGAGATGTAAGATGCTGCCAATATGGCCTTGGCAATGCCAAATGTACATTTAGCGTATGTTAATTGTGAAGGAAATTATACATTTTCTCAAGTAAATTCTTATTCCTCATTATCTAATATTACATAAGTATAAATGTAGATCCATACCTATCTTATATCAAAAGAATTTACCCGGTCCTTCAACACAATCTCAACCTACTTCTATTTTTGAAGTCAATGATATTAGATTATATGCTCCTACAATCAATGATGAAGGTTATGAGATAATGAGTAGTGGTTCAAGTGACGATGTGGAAGAAGAGTGATGTGATATCCTCCATGATCCAGCTGTTAGGAATATTGGTGTTCAGCCAAATATCAATGATATTATTCGTGGCTACTGTATAAGAACTGTAAATACAGAAGAGTGAATGAGATATAATAATGAACATGTTGAGATTCATAGGAGAAACGTTAGTGGAATGCAGAGGTTGCATATGATAGTAATACTCTTTTTAGCATTATGAATAATGAATTTATCATTCCGAATGAATTGATAGAGCATATGCATTTCCTAAAAAAATGTTAACTATAATTTTCCTTGCACGATTAGTCCATTAGAAATAATATTCAATTTGTCGTGGTTTCTTCAAATGAATAAAAATTCACATTTGCTTGTATACAATATGATAATGTGCCGGTAAAGTGTCATTGGCTTTTACGTGCTAGCCTAAGCAAGTGTTTGGATGGGGTGTAGAATATATCCACCATAAAAGTTTCACATACATGCATGAACCATATTCTTCAAGCATGTCATAGGCAATGTAATTCAAAGTTCATTAGCTGCTTTATTATTCCCATTATAAGGAAACAAATAGATATAAAACATAGATAAATAATTAGAATAGTTTAGGAAAAGTTTAACATAAAAGTTTCATGCATGAAAATATGTGATGCACGTCAGAAGGCTATTAAGGTAGCATTTGGCAATTAGGAAGAGTCTTATTGATCATTGAATTTGTTCATGAAAGTTATTATTACAACTATGCCTGGAACTGAATATAAAATTCAATCCTCTTATTCACATAGATTTCAAAGGTTGTTTTGGGCTTTTGACCCATCTATCACTAGTTGAAGATTTTGTCGGCCCATCCTCAACCTAGATGGGACTTTCTTATTGGGTAAATATAGGGGACAATACTCATAGTTGTTGGGCATTATGCGAATAATGATTTTTTCATTAGCTTTTGGAATTATGGAGTCAATGTGCAATGATTCTTGGATATAGTCTCTTATCATGATCATGATTTACTCCCTTCTATTACCAGTATAAATAATATATGCATCAAATCTAACCGGCATGCTTGGTTGGTACGTGGATGTAGAGACATATTCCCAGGTGCAACACACCATCACTATCTTAGACACTTGCATGAAAACTTTAAGAAAGTTGTTTGAAAAATGGGAGTTTCTGATGTGGAGTTTCTATACTAGAAGATGTACACAGCATATAATATTGATGATGCATAAATATTCAATTAGAGCATGTTAGATATAATCAAAATAAAGCCAAAACTTTATCAATGATTAGTTGAAATTGATGTTTCAAAGTGGTCATTGATATATAATGGTGGGTTCCAATACTGAATAATGACAACTAACACATCAGAAGCTTTTAATAGCATATTAAAGAAAGTCCATGGGTTACTAGTACAAGCTCTCATTACTATCATATATTATTATGTTGTTCGAATGTTTGCCCGACAACTCAAGGTTATTACTATTAAAGAACACCATAATAACAACATATTATCTCCACGTGTCTAAGCTAAATTGTGAAAACTTAAAACTAATGTAAGAAGAATATCAGAACCTACGTGAATTAATATGCGTGAGTTTCAAGTATTTGATATGTCCTCAAGATCCTACTGTGTGGACGTTACACCAAATGCTAACAGTTTGTATAGTTGTTGAAGACTATTATTTATCACATGCCATGTGGCCATGTAATTAGTTCAAATGTATCAGTTAGGATAAATCATCTGGATTATGTTTCAGAATATTACACGATGAATAATTTCAAGATAACTTACTCATATGAATTTCACACAATACCAGATAAGGAGTAATGACCAACTTATGATCTTACGGCTAGTTTGTACCCCTTGAGTCTTCTAAACTAGAAGGTGATATGGTAGGCCCAAGATTACTCAATATAGAAATACAGTAGATGAAGAAAAACATTAAAGTAGTAGGGTATGCAGTTATTGACATATAATTGAGCATAATATAATAACCTGCCTAACACGTCGTGCAAATCATTTGTGAAAGTACTGACCTAACACTTATCTCTGTATGAGTTTTTTTTTTTGTTGATGTGTAAATTATGTAAGATTTTATTATTATTTGTTTGATATTTGGTGTTGAAAAAAAAATATCGTATTATTGTCCAAGTTATTTAGTATTAAAAAAATATTGTATTATGGGACAAGCATAAGCTCAAACTTGCTTACCTTTGAGATGACTATGTTGGACATTTTATAGGGATTCATATTTAGACTTGACTAAGCTTGATTTTTGGCTGCATGTTCATGCATACATTCTCTTTTTGTTGGGATCTTACCTTCTCCCAGACATCTCAGGTTGTGAGATTCATTTATGGCTCTTATCTTTACTAGATGACTTGGGTTTGTTCAACACTTACTCTTTAGGGGCAACAACACTATCTCACTTGTACATGAAACTTACTGAGGTGATGATGCCAAAGAAGGCAAATATTGTAGAATGTATTCATTTGCTTTAGATTTAATGTTTGGGAGCGACTTCATGTTGGACGTCATGCACTTCATGTCTCACAACAAGTCAGCTTGGATGGCCTTCCTATTGGATACAGGTAATATATTCCATCAGCTTAAAATTTTAATCGCTTAATATAAAATAATTAAATTATAGTTATTTATGTAGGTGAAACCATGTATTCATAAGACAACTCACAGCAAGTTGCATCAAAAGTTATAGAGATGAGCTAGTTGGCTTATTAGACAGTCTTATTATTAGCAATATAACAACAATTTGTTCAATTATATCGATTTCAAGTAATAAAAAAATTGTTTGCTTTGGTAGGTGACTTGAGAGTCCTACACCGCAAAAGTTTGCTCTCAGGTTGTTGATATATGCTTATCAGGAGAACCAATATAGTTAGCTCGTGTGCCTCTTATTTGTTGGACTCATGTGGAGTGGCACTTGTAAGATTGAATTGTTCGACATATCAGGTTTGTTCCTACTACTGAGGTTCAACCACACTCAAACAACATTTGAAAATTAGTAAACAAAGACATATAAGATGGTTAAAAAAAAGAAGATAATCATGCCTTCATATATTGTTCATCACCATTTGCATGCGATCTTGGATTTAGGTTTGAGTAAGGCATCAACTGAATTTGTTCTTGAACCAAATTTAGACGCATTGACAGTCTTATACACTTATAACTCCTTTTTCTTTCTATGTGGAAGAGCAATCAAGTTCTTATATGTTTTAATGGGGAATGCATTAACTGTGGGAAGCCATTTCTTATAAAGGATATAATGAGCTATATCAGATGTCGGGTTATCCATAGTCACATGAAACAACCCATTTTCACGGCGTCCAATTTCAGCGTATTTAGCCTTCAAAATGTTAATAAGCACTAGATATCCCCTGGTTTTAAAAGCCTCTTTTGCAGAAATATCCAACCCGCATCATTCAAACCAGTATCATCCTTCTGATCGAAAAGATTCATAACTTCGACGTGTGTGTGTGTCATAATAAGCAGTCTTCCATATCTGACAAAAAATATATACAACATCAATAAATGTAATTTTCTCTTGCCATCTCTTCTAAACCCTCATCAATGAAATGCACTAAGCATACCCTCAATCAAGTGCTGCCCTCCATAATCAATTGCTTAGAAGGGTTTTTGGGTGTCCTATACATTCCAAAAAAAATATTTGCAAAGAAAATAGAGAATGGAGGATAACTATTCTATTCATTCACACATGGAAGATGTGCTCAATTTATAGGAGCATTGAAGCATATTACATTAATTATGATATGATGTCAACACAACTTGAATTGAGAAGACATGATGATTTGACAACTCAAAATGATGTGATAATACATAATGACACTATAATATCAAAGCTGATTTTATAATACAAACTGATGGGACAACACATTTATTTAGTAATACGTAATGATTTTATAATACAAACTTATTAAAGTTTATGATTTTATTAACTTATAAAATTTATATAAATTTTTATAAATTTATTAATTAATTCAATTATATCAATAATATTATATTTAAATTAAACAACTCCAACAAGATCACACCTTTGTCCCACAACATAGAGTTGGCTATATGAAACCTTTTTCTCGATTGTATCCTATTAAAAGTTAAATTCTCATTTCAATCTAATAAAGAAAGATCATTTCTAATATTTTGTCACAATAGCTTTTTAGATCACATTTAAATTCACAACACGAAAAGTACAATTAAGCAGAAGTACTCATCCAACAAATAATTAAATTTTTAATGTAGATGCATAAGGAACCGATTACATAACAAAGAAAAATACTTAGACACATATCCTACCAAACAAGAAAAATACAGTGATAAAAATATAGAATAGGTTGGCGTACATAATATTTAGAGGAGGGCATAACTTTTATATTTCCTAATCAACATATGTAAACGTGACTGTAGTTGTATGTGAGTTGAACAACATTTCTGATGGAACTCGAGCTCACAATGAATTGTTAGTCATCAACATTGAAGAACTATCTAGGCTTATCATCAGGTAATATCTCGTTAATATGCTCTCTATAGAAATTCGTAATGAAATTATCGAATCGCGAACACCAATCACGATATGCTCAATGTCAAGGTGATTATAGTCAATATCTGGAGGGGAATGTCCATTATCTCTATGGCATTTCATCTCATGGTACCACATATATAAGAAATTTGGGTTAACAATGTGACCATTCTCTTCTCGAAACTTAATTTGAAGAGATTTCCAATGGACGATATTTAAGAAATCTCTTATATTGTAAAGTTTTACCCTAATTAACTTGACATGCATATCCCAAAGGCAATCATCCCCATCTTCTAACCATTCATATACACAACGCATAAATATCTCATTCTTATTAGTCTTCTAATCTAACAGAGTGTCACCGCCTTATACTATGCAAGCAAGTATTCTTCGGCTTGCATCATCAAACCTTTTTTTAATTAGGAACACATTTAAGCTTCTCCATGCATGACCAAAACATTCTGAATAACTCAAACAAAAACTCAAGAACTATACTCTAAGTGTCAACCAATCACCCTTTAAATAGCTGAGATTAAATATATTCAACCAACACTTGCAGCCAAAAATATAATATGACTTGAATTGACCAGATAAGTTTACAGGTCATTTGATGTGATGTGTCATTACAAGCTAAATGAATTGTCATTGCAGAATGATTCTGACATTATAAAGATCTTATGCTTTTAAGGATATTTTTGGAAAGAGGGTTCAAAGATCCACAATCAATACATACATATATTCAAAAAACATATCACTAGGTTTGAATTCATCTCCAAAAATACCTTCCAAAAATACCATAGGTTATTTTATCAATGCATAATTTTCAATTTTCTGTAAATTGCATAATTATTATTTAATATTAAAAAACATAAAGAAACTAAGATTAATTTTTTTAAAAAATTTGGGGCAATGCTAAATTGCCCGTTTAATGGGCGATTTAGGCTATGGGACCTAAATCACCCATTAAATAGGCGATTATGCCTAGTTTTATATTTTTAATTTTCAATGTTAATTAAAGAACTAACGATGCTTAGTGTAAAAATTTCCCCTTTTAGATTCTCTTGAATCCGACTAAATAAAAAATTCTTTGGTAAGATTAATAATTTACTATGTCATGATTAATTGCAATATTATTTTATATTAATTATTATTTAATTAGTTTAATTAAAATTAATATATGATTAATCAATATAATAAAATCTTATAATCATCTTAATCCTTAAAGATATAAAATAAATAGGTAAATAAATTTTTAAGGTATTAAATTTAAGATTTATCATATCAAATAATTTTATGATAAAATTTAATAAATTCTTATTTATAAGACTTATTGAATCTTACTTTGACTTTTGCAGGGGTTGTTTGGTAGCGAGATTTAAACATGCTTTACATCAAATTTGTCAAAAATCATGCTAAATGGTTTGAGATTGTGTGGTAAATCATAATCTATCATAAATCCTAATTTATGGATTTACCACATACATCTGATATTTACTTAATCCGGTCATACATCTGATTTACGATGAATTTAACGAAATTTGTTAATTTGAGAAGTTCTCTTGTAGCAAGCAAGCAAGCTCTCGTCTCAAAGGAGAAGGCGAATATGGATACCTTCAGAGCAAATGAGCTCCCCAACATGACTTATGATTTGATGTCGTCGAAGGAGGAGGGCATGAGGCATCTTTAACAATTTTTTCAACACATTGTTTCACGCGAAGCACATGAGTCCAAAAAGCAATAATGAAGAAATGGTGACGAGGAAAGCTGCATGAACGAAGAAATGGAGATGAAAAACAATATCTTATAACACATATAAAGAAAATATATACATCAATATCTATATTGATTATATGTATTATTTTATAATTTATATATTTCATCAATCACAATATCAATAATGTGTTTGTAGCAATGTTGGTATTAATATTCATATATTTAATAAGTATATCTTAAGAGTATCTTGCTCATGTACTTACGACTCCCAATCAGCCGCCCCTTATAACTCTCAATCAATATACTTCTAATAACTTCTCTTAAATCACGTGAATCAGTCGCCTCGACTCTTATAACTCCACGTGATACCCTACTATTATACTAATCTGCGTGATTCACTGATTGGGATTTGGAATGCATTGGAAGACTTTCCAAAGGTTCATTTGAATGAGCCATATTGAGGTTCTTGAGAATGATTGATTTTTTAGGGGTTTGCGGTTAAGTGGGCTATGATCAACCATTGTTAACCAAAATACTATTAATGACCTAACGCCACAACGCTCACAAAATCAACGTCAAAGTGCTTTACTTAAGAATTTTTATATATTTGAAATAAATTTATTTCAATTATTTGAGTTATTATAATTTATGTGGGATTTATGCTAAATCCTGTCAAATAAGAAAATGAACTTATAAATTTGCACCATGCATAAATCTAGATTTACTTTTGGCTGTAAATCTCATAGTACGCCGGATTTAAAGGATTTAGGGACTACGAGATTTGTGTGCTTGCAATATTTACCACGGTTGTCATGAGAAAGATGGTTACCTTCGTAGTGAGTGAGCTCCTGACGTGACTTATGATCCAATGTCGTGGAAGGAAGCGAAGAAGCTTCTTTAGCAACTTTTTCAACACACTACTTCATGAGAAGCGCGCAAGGCTGAAGCAGCAATGAAGAAATGGCGTTGGGGAAAAAGAAGAAACCCAAGCCGACCTGCTTCCTCGATTAGAAATATTAATATTTGATTAAATTAATTAAACAATTAGTAGTATTATAATTAGTATAATTAAATAACCTAATTTAACTTAATTAAATAAACTAATTTAATTTAATTAAATAATTAATAGTATAACTAATAATAAAAAAATAATATAATTTAAATAGATATAGTTAATTATGTAATTTGTATTATAAATAATAATGAAATTATTAATTAGTGATTGACTAATTATGTGATTAATGAGTAATTATTGATTAGTAACTATAAATTATAATATTTAAGTGACTGCTGAGATGATTAATACAATAAATAATAATTTAAAACTAGTTAAATAATATTTATATATTTAATTAAATTTTTTGAAGGAGTATTAGTTAAATAATTATTTATAAAAATAAATAAATAATTATAAATATAATTATATATTAAGTACTTATTAAATTAATACTTAAAAAGATAAATTGATAATTCATACAGTAATTAATAATTAAACTATTTGATATCATTATAACTTATTAATGATAATTAAAATTGAAATTAATAAGTAACTTTTAAATTAAATTTAAAATATATTCAATTTTATTTTTAAATGAACCTAACATCTTAAATCGTGGATTATGTTACCAAATAATTCTATAAAATTTAATAAAATATAACAATTATGAATCAATTTTCAAAATTTAACATACCTAGAATTTTCTATGGGATTTACAGGATTAACTAAATCTTGAAGTTAAATCCTACTTGTTTCCAAACAGCCCCTTAATAAGAGTTTCCTTCTTCTTCCGCGTTGACCATTTTCCCACCTGATTGGTGACTTACTTCTTCTTCCCCTCTGCTTGCCTCCTCCTTCGCGCGAGGTATTTGGCTATGGACGGAACGGTCGATGCCCTTAGCAACGTCTACCATACTTTGTGCTGCGGCGGCCGCCGTCATCGAAGCCAAGGATCAGTCAGGAGGGCAAAAGACGGCAGCAACCGAAGCTGCTCTCGAGAACATTCAGAGCGCGGTGGAACTCTTTCCGCGTCGCCTGCGACCAGGCGGAGGAGTTTGTGGAATCCCTAAAGCAACGGATCGGTTCCGAATGTCTTGTCGATGAGGCCACCGGCGCGACAACGGTGAAAATCCGGACAGCTCTCTGCTGCCGGCATCCCTCCACGCGCCGTGAGGCTGGAGCAGATGAGCAAGGCAGTGCGATGGCTCGTGATTGAGCTCAAAATGGTTCGGGGCAGGCACCGGCAGTGGGGCGGTGGCGCATCATAACGCGTCTGCTCCGTTTGATACTAGGTTTTCGGATGACTCCACTCAATAGGTATGCTAATTAGGTTTAGTTTGAGTTTGTTGTAGTTTTACTTGGATTAGAGATTCGGCTGTGGATGCCAGATTTATCTACTGTGATGACGTTCATGATGGTTTCCGATATCCTGATTCGACTAGTAGTGAGCTGAGTAACACGTAAGTGTCTAAAACAATCACAATGATAAAAATAGCACTATTTATGATAAAAATAACCTATATCACGAGCTCGATGATGCACATATAACTATATACTACCAAAATATGTCCTGGTAAATGTAAATTGAGAAGAGTAACAATACGTCAGAATGAGAAGGTCGAGAAGATCTTGTCAAATTAAAGGCAAAAAAGAGAGAAGAGAATACATTCTTTCTTCAATATCTCTAAGATCAACGCTAAGACCTATATGCCTTTGCTCTAGCTGATCATCAAGGAGGAACTTATTATTTGTCTGATCCAACTCAGTCGCAGGAAGATATTGATTGCCGAAGAGTTATTAGATTGCATATCCCTGTTTCTTTTTTTTTCTACGATCTCTGAAGCCATCAGAACCTTTGTAATCCTATTTTGTAAATGTTCGATACAATAGTGTAGGGATAGAGTTAGGCTTTGCTATTGGTCTTAAATGAGATATTTACGAAGGCACTCTTCATGCTTTGATATAATTATCTAACAATTCTCTTATATCAAATCACCTAATCAATACTAATAAAATGAATAATTCTAGTTTGCACAAATCACTAGTCCTTTTCCTCACGTAAAGCCCTAAAGGGCATCAACAATTGTCCAAATCAATTATTTCTAGACATTGCTTGAATTTGATGACCTGATCACCTTGGTAAGTTGTTAGAAAGATGTGCTCTTTTCAGACATTTGAACTGAAACCTCACCATTACAACTTTATCTCTAATGAACATGATATCAAATATCAATATGCTTATTTTCTCATGATATATCTAGCCTATCCCAAAATAAATAACACTTTAACTATAATAAATTATTGCTGAGTTGCATTCGTGGAAATTCAAATATTCAACCAAGCCTCTCAATCAAATAAGCTCTTTAATATCTTCAAAAGTGCCATATAATTCCTTTTGTAGTAAATAATAATTGTACGCATAGACAAGCCTTCAGCTACTGACATATCTAGAATGGCTAATGCCTAACCAAAATAGATACCACATGCAAAATCACAAACTATAGTTGAAGTAGAATATCCCACAACACCGTAACTAAATTTGACCTTGCCATATATCAAATCTTAATCTCTAGATTCTTTATATTACATTATAGCATACATGATACTTCCAACTTGCTAACATATTCACTCTACTCATGTAGTTGTCTTCTTCTGGTGATTGAGAAAAAGTTTGCTAAAAATGAAAGTGGCCAGCAAGTAAAGTAGTGTTAGACTTCGCAGTATGCAAAATAAATATTTTTAACACATTCTCTTCTTATATCTTTTGATCTCCTCCTAAATAATCAATCTATGTCTTCTCTTGTTGAAACATGTATAATTCTAAATTTCACACCCCTTACTGATTAATAATTAAGTTTCTTTTCATCACTATGCCAAAGCATTTTATCCTTCACATGATATGCATACTCAAGGAATATGGTCTATCAGGTCTAGGATGTAGCTTATTCTTTTTAACATAATCTAGGATGTAGCTTATTTTTTTGATAGAAAACATAAGCAGGATAAGCCAATTTATCCCTTAAATCTAAAATAATAATCAAGATGGCTTGACCTACTTTATTAAGAGTCAACTCTGTAGAGTAGTTGGAGACATGTTCACCAGTAGCTGCCATGTTTAATAGTCTTAGCCCAAAAATTGTTATCAGAACCAACAACAACAACAAGCCTTTATCCCACATGGGGGTCGGCTACATGAATCCTTTTCTCATTGTGTTTTATTAAGAGCCAAATTTTTATTTAATCTAATAAAAATATTATTTCTAATATTTCTCTACCAAGCTGTTTTATGTCTTCCTACCTCTCTTAACAAAGGCCAAATTTAATAAATCTACTCCTCTAAATGAGCCATTAGAGGCCGACGTTTTATTGCGACCAAGCCATTAAGGTGACTCTTTCTAATCTTATATGCCACTGGAGCTACTCCACCTTTTTACGTATATGCTCGTTTCACATTCTATCTCTAAGAGTAAGGCCACGCATCCACCTGAGCATCCTCATTTAACACTTAACGTAATTATATGCTTCTTTTTAATGACCAACATTCGACGACATAAAACATGCAGGTCTCACCACCATTTTATAGAATTTTCCCTTGAGTGTTGAGGGGTACTTTTCTATCACACAATAGGCCCGATGCATTCCTTTGCTTCAATCATCCAATTTGAATTCTACTAATGTTATCCCCATCAATTTCACCATCACTTTGGACATAGATCCGAAATATCTAAAATGTGAACCAATATTGGATAATATTTATCTAGCCCTTTCCAAGATTTTCTCGCTCAAATTTTTGCATCTCCATTATGCTGAGGTTTACCCAGTACCATCTTTTGTGCCGCCAATGAAATTTCTTTCTACACAATGCCTCAAACTTATATGAATAAAACTTCAAGCAACTACCTGCCACTAGAATCTTGATTTTCTTGCCTATTATTTCTTAATGAGCACTTTTTACTTGTGAATGCCCTGCTAATATATCACCCTTTTGCTCAAGCATGAAAAACTTGTATTTTCCTTATGAAGAAGGCAGGCATGTATTTAGATCCACCTTTTGATATAAACTTGCTGGACTACACATGTTAGAAATAATATAGTTCAAAGTAATTTTAGATATTGGAATTCCTATAAGAAACTTCAATTGTTATTCTACCTTAACACAGCGCTCATATCCCATTAGAGTTCCAATGTTTGTGGATTTTCTAACCACAAAGCAAGTTCTCATGCTTGACTTTATTGGTCCCATTGGGATATCGTCTTAAAGCTCATTGCCATAATAAAGTTGATTTCATCTAAAAGAAGAAACTGATACATTCCTATCATGTGCTTCTTTGGATCAATTAGATATTACCGATTTTATTTGGACTTATTGACACATCTGAAACATTGTAAAACTGCACCACCAGCAGTGTATTTGCAACGAATGGAATCTAAACAAGCCAAAAAGATAATATTCTTATTCGAAGCAAGCACATTGGTCCCATTGGTCCCCTACTCCCAAAATTTATTCTTCTTCCACACAATCAAATAGCGCTCGATCATTGTTATACTTGAGTGTTGCCTACTTTGGTTGACGACAGAAAGCGGAGAACCGGACGCTCCAAACTCCGGCCTTTGCAGATTGCCAGTTAGGCTACAATAGACTGGATGTATGCGACGTTGCAAGTCAAGCTGGAGAGTATATTTATTGTTTTTATGGCTTAACTTGAAGGGTTGCATCCCTTGATGTAATTTTAAGGTGTCTCTTTGTTTGCTTGTGTTAGAACGACGTGAAGAAGTGAAGTGAAAAAAAAGGGAGAGCAAAGAAGAGATATTTGTTACAATTTCTCTCAATTTTATTTTTATATTGAATTCTTGGTGTGATGCGGATATACAGGGTTTTCCCGATTTTAGATTTTTTCGCATTAAATCTCAATGTTCATTTTCGCATTTTCTTTTCTTGTTTGTTTCGTTGCTTGCTTTTATTTCCAATAATTTCCACCATCAACTAACTTATAACATGAAAGCAATCCTGTGAGGAGTTACGTGATATGAACGTCTAAAGTCAAATATCAATATTCAATAGAAGAAACAATACAATCTACCATTGCGAGAACTTGATTGACCCTTTCT